GGAAAATTCGAAATTTAATGAGCGCTTTTGATTCAGTTTAAATTCAAACTATTGAGCGTTTAATATTAATTTAATATTAACTGTTCTGAAATTATGAAATTATGATAAAAGAGGTTCATAATTCTCAAAATTGCATTCTCCCAATTATCTGATGCATCTTCCTCATAAAATGCTCTCCACATTTATTATATCCGAATCAAATCCGATTGATATCAAAATATTTTCTAATCTTACAACCAGGGATTGAGACCTAGTCTCCGAAATAGTGAATAATAAAGAAATTCCGGGAGTTCGAAAAATCGTTCGCGTCGAAATTCCAAATGTCAGGGGAAAGCGGTCTAACGTGAAAAATAGTAAAAGTGCGTGGGTGTCCTCGAATGTACTCTACATCATATGATATATTCAAGCGCAAATTCTCGTGACCCTTGAAATCGTTCCATTTTTATTGAGGAGTTGATGGATTTGTCGAATAGTTTTATTCGAGTTTTCCATTTCGTCTTTGATTCGCTGTTGTAGCCAGAATAATTTTACTCGACAGGTGGAATACGGATATATTTCAAGGGGAAGGAAAATTACTCGCCCACGTATCGTCATGCCGACGTCACCCTCTCACCCTATTCACCCTCAATCACTGATGGACGTCGTGGATTTCTCCGATAAATCCACTCAGCCCTATCATCGTTTTTCCACTAACTCTCAACTGCGTCGTTGGTTACCAAGGTTTTTTTTGGCTTTGTCAGGGCACATCGATGAATTATCACTCGCTTTATCGGGTATTTTAGCCCAGAGCTTAGAATTCTCCCGATATTGTTATTACTTCGGGAAGATTGACGCATTTTTACCCAAATAAAACTCCCAAACGATCCATTTGTCAAGTGCCTTTCTGGAGATAAAATCCTCTTGGCTTCATCTAGATGGAATTCATTTTTATTTGACAACTTTTTTGTGGGGAGTCAGCGATTGGGGGAATTTAACTGCCATTTTATTCCAATGATTTTTAAGGCGCACTATTTCATCGAAATTTCGGTTACAGAATTATTGGAAATGATTTTTTTATGAAATCTCGAATTTTTTTTTGTATTTTGTATTTTTTTCGTTGGAAATTCAGAAATTAATTTCAATGAATTGAAAAAGAGAAATTATTATTTCTCGAATTTCCAGTGCATTGTGGACTTAAAGATTGGGAATTATCAAAATAGTAATGAGGAATTCTATCGAAATTTCCTGTCACTTTTTCATTATTAAAAATTTCAAACTTTGAACTGAAACTTTTAAATGTAATTTCCTAACGGTGTAATGTGAGTGTAATCATTAAATCCGATTTAGTGTGCCATAAAAATGAAATAAAATTCCAATTTTTTGAGTTGAAAATGAGAATTCTCTCAGTTACTTCAGTTGTCACGTACTTGACGTCATAAATCCAAAAAACTCGTAGCATTTAATGATGCAAACGGAAATTCACGTAATGAAAAAAGAGCTTTGATAAAAATTGTTCATTCCACTTGAACGGATCCGTCTCGTATATCAGAGAAAGGATATTATATTCCTGGGATATTTTGCTGTTGTAACCTGAGAGGTTGACATGTTTATCCACGTGGCAGGTTTTCAACAAGTTTTTACGGCAATTCGAGCTAGATAACACGAATGCGAGTGAAAAGATGTTGAACACGCGTCAAGGTTTTTGCTATAGTTGATCAGGGATTTAATTTCCCAGGGGGTATTTTGTTGTGACTCAAGAGGATGACATGTTTTCTATAGGTAATAATGACACCGGTAATGGCTATTTATTCCGTGAAATTGAATTGCCCGAATTGAGTCGTCAGCGGATTTGTTTGTACGCATGTATGGCCTCGCCTGAGGTATTTCTAACCGTTGGTGTGTACACGTATCCGACCTTTTCTGAATAAACACCCACGTCTAAACGTAAAATGTAGTTTTCCAGTTTAGTTCCAGTGGGTGGGTTGCATCAACACATTTGAATCACGTGGGTGACTCGAATGTGATTCCGGTGGTGGTGGAACTAGTAGCGTTTCATTCAAGTGGTTACCAGGAAATGAGTAACTATTTTACTGTGAGAAGATTTAACGAAAAATCAC